GTAATCCCAGCACTTTGGTAGGCCAAGGTGAGTGGATTGCCTGAGCCCATGGGTTCGAGACCAGCCCGGGCAGCTTGGCGAGACCTCATCGCTACAATAAATCAAAAATTAGCTGGAGGTGCGCCAGTAGTTCTGGCTACTTGGAAGGTTGAGGCAGAAAGATCGCTGGAGCTCAGCAGGTCAATGCTGGGGTGGCCGTGAGTGTGCCACTGCACTCCAACCTGGGCAACGGAGTGAGACGCCAACTCAAAAAAAAAAAAAAGTAGATGAAATTAATTGTAATCATACATTTGCTTTAATGCAATATATCTAAAATATTATTTCAATTTGTAATTAATGTAAACATTTAAGAGGAAATTTTAGATTCCTTTTTTCTCTTCAAGTCTTCAAAATCACTGGGCGCAGTGGCTCATGCCTGTAATCCCAGCACTCTGGGAGGCAGAGGTAAGAGGGTTGCCTGAAACCAGGGGTTCAAAACCAGCCTGGGCAACTTGGTAAGACCTCGTCTCTACAATAAATCAAACAATTAGATAGGCATGGTGGTGCATACCTGTGTTTCTAGCTATTTGGAAGACTGAAATGGAAGGATTGCCTGAGTCCAGCAGGTCTAGACTGCGGTGACTGTGTATGTGCCACTGCACTCCAGCCTGGGGAACAGAGTGAGACTCCAACTAAAAAAAAAAAAAGTCTTCAAAATTCCATGTATATTTTACACTTCGGCACATCTCAGTTTAGACTCTTAATTTTTTTCTTGAAAAAAACATCTGTATTTGGGTTTCATAAAATTTACTATTGAAAACATAGATTCACATATCCAAGTAGTTCAGTAATCTGATGTAGCTGGTACCTACCATACTATGGACAACGTAACCCTACAGTCTGTGTCTGGTGAGGCGTTGGTGCAGAGCCTTCGTTAATAGTACTTAGTAGTTTTCCTTCTTTGTTTTTGAGGTGAGTAGATGGCTAAGTTAAGTGTTGGAGGACCTGTGATTTGCTTTTCTTATTCATTCTGACTGCTGCAGTCGTGCTCTGGTGAGATGATTCCCAAAGGGTAAACAAGCCTTTTTTTTTGAGTTGAAGTCTCACTCTGTCACCCAGACTGAAGTGCAGTGGCACGCGCCCGGCCATTGCAGCCTCAACCTGCTGGGCTCCGGCGATCCTTCCGCCTCAGCCTTCCAAGTAGCTGGAACTACAGGCATGTGCTACCACACCCAGCTAATTTTTGGTTTATTGTAGAGATGAGGTCTCATCAAGTTGTCCAGGTGGGTCTTGAACCCATGGGCTCAGACAATCCTCTCACCTCGGCCTCCCACAGTGCTGGGATTACAGGCTGAGCCACCGAGCCCAGCCTCTTTTTTTAACTTGTAACATATTTTGCATTTACTGACAAGGAATAGAGATTACATTGTTTTCTATATACGGTTTTTAGCAAAAATTTATTTACTTTTCTTTGTGCCAGGCAGTAGGCTGCCTGTAACAATATGTTTTTATGTTTTTCAAAGCACCTATAGGTATTGTAGAAAGCATCAGAAGAGCTAAGTCTTAGTTAACTCTGACACTTATTAGCTATGTGATTTTATTTTATTTTATTTTTTTTTATTTTTTGAGTTGGAGTCTCACTCTGTCGCCCAGACTGAGTGCAGTGGCCGCTCCCGGCCACCGCAGCCTCGACCTGCTGGACTCCAGTGATCCTTCCGCCTCAGCCTTCCAAATAGCCGGAATTACAGGCATGCGCTACCATGCCCAGCTGACTTTTTTTTTGTTTGTTTGTAGAGATGAGGTCTCGCTGCCCAGGCGGGTCTCGAACCTGCAGGCTCAGGCAGTCCACTCATCTCAGCCTCCCAAAGGCGCGGGATTACAGGCTGAGGCACTGAGCCCGGCTAGCTATGTGATTTTAAACAAATAACTTAGTTTTCTGAGGCCAGGTGTGTTGGCTCCTGCCTATAATCCCAGCACTTTGGGAGGTGGAGGCAAGAAGATTGCCTGAGCCCAAGGGATCAAAACCAGCCTGTGCAACTTGGCAAGATCTCATCTCTACAATAAATAAATATAAAAATAGCTGGGTATGGTGGTGTGCACCTGTCATTCTAGCTACTTGAAAGGCTGAGGCAGAAGGATTGCCTGAGTCCAACTGGTTGAGGCTGCAGTAGTCATGAGCATGCTGCTGTACCACAGCCTGGGTGACAGAGTGAGAGTCCTATTGAAAAAAATAAAATAAAATAACTTAGTTCTCTGAGCTTTGATTTTCCTTATCTATAAAATTTTAATGCTATTCTACCTCATAGATTGGTTAATGGGGAATGAGACTGCATGTGTATGAAACTGTAAAATATTAGAAAAGTTAGTTTTGGTTGTTTACTATAACAATCCTATGAGGTTAGCATTTCAAATTTCCATTTTGCAGTTAAGCAAACAGACTCAGAATGGTTAATTAATCCCTGGTCATCGAAGTTAGTTAGATTGTATGCTAGAATTGACAACCAGTTCTATTGATTACAAGTTTAGTACTACCTTGTAAGCCTACTTTTTTCTCAGGTGTTTTGCCATTATTTATCCAAAACCTGGTGCTGACTTCTTTCTTCCCTTCATACTCAGACCTGGATACAATCCTTATGTCTTCAAGCATCACTGCTAATTTTTGCTATGAACCTGCTGGGTGGGTTCATGCAGTAAGTGCTTAGTTGAGCATTCATTTGTTTCCTAACTGCCATGAGTCACTTTGCTATTTGATATTGCTACATCGTTCTGTTAAACAGTAGATCTGTTATTATACTTAAATGTCTAATCCTGGAGGATAAAAAAAGTTTGACTTTGCATATTGTGGCATACTTACACTTTTCTCCTTTGGATTTCATCTGTTTTGATATCTCCGGCAGCTTTTCTTTAAAATATTTTCATTAACAGCATGACATTAGAAGGTAATTCAACATTTATCTTCCTCTGTTTATGGATTAAAGGTTAATTTGCAGAATTGGTAAGCAGGAGTAAAGCACTGATTCTTGAAACTGGCCACATAATTAGCCCCAAACAAACAAAACCTTCTGAGAGCAAACCCAGTTCTTACAGAAGCCAGAACACTAAGCTTTTGGAGCTCCTTGTATCCTTGCTGGTATGAATATTCAGCCAAGAGAGTTTAGCTGACACTTTAGTTTCTGGTACAGGAAGCAGTTCCAAATCCAGGTCAGCTTTCTTGTAGCTATATGGGCTTTGTCAAGTAGTTAGAAGCAAAAATTCTCTTAATGAAGGGCCTGCAGGCAGCCAAGCATGGATATGCTGGCTAAGAAAGTACTGTTTGTGTAGATAGTGTAATTGTCTTTTTAAAGGAGTAGATGACCGGGCTCGGTGGCTTAGCCTGTAATCCCGTGCCTTTGGGAGGCTGAGGTGAGTGGATTGCCTGAGCCTGCGGGTTCAAGACCCGCCAGGGCAGTGAGACCTCATCTCTACAATAAATCAAAAAATCAGCCGGGCGTGGTAGCGCGCGCCTGTAGTTCCAGCTACTTGGAAGGCTGAGGCGGAAGGATCGCCGGAGCCCAGTAGGTTGAGGCTGCGGTGGCCGGGAGCGGCCACTGCACTCCGGTCTGGGCGACCGAGTGAGACTCCAACTCAAAAAAAAAAAAAGGAGTAGATGATCTGTAATAAATGCATATTGATTTTCAGTAATGAGACTATTATGACTTTGAAACTGTTCTTTCTAATTAACTGTGAGAACCTGTGCTTGTTTGATATAAAGAGGTTCACAAAATATTGATTATTGAAGACATTTTTATTGTCCTACATAATTTCCAGAGACTTTGACGTACTTCTGCAGAAGAGATAACAGGTTAGGGGCCCTTTGGTGAGAGCAGCTTCTTAGCTCCTCATAGGAGATATATACTTAGGTGGGAGTATTCATATTGTTCTGCTTAGAGTATGGAACTGTCATGTTGCAAGAGTCTTTGAGGAAGGGTTTACCAATCCTTTTATACCTCCACACATACTACTGTGAAATACCAACATACCTAAAATGATTACAAATGATCTTTAACAAGCCTTGTCTCCTGAAACTAACATCCAGGTCTGAGTATACTTTCTGACTATGCCACCAGTGTCATTTTGCTACAGTAGCTGAACAACAGGTGATAATGACTAGGCAAAATACACAGGGCATCAGAGTACAACTACGTGATGACAACTAATCTATGAATACATAGAGTTTAGATGGGTATAGACACTACAAACCTGGCTCAGGCTACACATTTTATGGATGTACCATAATTTACCAATTTTATCTGATAAATATAAATGTCAGTGATCTAACATTCTTTCTGAAAGTTCTTATAGGCAGCAAGTTTACTTTTAGACTTTTCTGTTAGGCTCTATGCTTGAGGGCTGGTACTGATTTTCTGCACATCTCTTTCTGTACTCTTCTGCTGATTCTGTTCCTCTTGCCACTGCAATTGAGAGTATTAGGTTTTTCGTCTAAAAATTAGTGTTCTCATGCTTGTCAGTTGTATTTTATTGTTGGTCCGTATTCTGTGAAACAATTTACTTTAACATAAAAAGATAATGACAATTCAGTGATACCAAATTGCATCGCAGCCCTCTACAGTAGAAGAACTGCTGAACTATAGGGGAGGGATCATTTTATGGGCTGGGAAAGGAGGACTAAAGAGGATGAGAATTTCCGTAGTCCCAATGTTTTAAGAGCCTTTAATTACATTAGAGTAGCTTTACTGATGAATTTCGTCTTCTCTTTGTTTAGAAAAGCATTCATATTTCATGCCCAAAGGAAAATGCATCTTCTAAATTTTTGGCTCCATACACTACTTTTTCCAGAATTCATACAAAGAGTGTAAGTATTTTGATGAAACAACAAAAAAAATGTAATAGCATGTCAATTTTTCATTTTATTTGCTTGTCTAGTACCATAAAAACATATTCATAATTAATGTCTTTCATTTACTTTGCATTGGAAGATGATACAGCTGGTGAAGTGTGATGCATTTGACAAAACTGATACTCAAGTCCACATAGATTGTGTGTACAAATCCACTCATTGGTAATTGATTATATAAAATTCCATTATGTATGTTTTTAGCAGATCTACTTACCAGTTTTTGGATAATGATATAAGAGCTGATACTTGCATAATATACTCTTTCTTATATTTTATTCCTTTGCCTACAGGGACATTTTCTCAAAGTTCCAAATATACCATATTGAAGAATAATTTTCAAAGGTTTTTATAATAAAGGCTTTTCTGTTACCATGAGCTTTTTGGAAGCAGAACTGAGAAGTTGGCAGATACACTGATTATATTAAAGCCGCCCACTTCTTACTGTGTGGTACATTTTAAAAAAGAGCTATTTTTTACTTTTATTGCAAAACAAATGTATATTTAGTAATAAAAATTTAGAAAATGGAAAAGAAAGTGAAAATCACTTATTTCTGTAACCTAAGGATAATTGTTGGTTACTTTTGCTTTGTATCCTTTTAAAAAAAATCATAGTAATAGAGATAACATTTATTGATTCCCTTCTATAGAGCCACCATCCTGGTAATCCTACATATCATTATTTTACTTAATCCTCTCAGTCATTTTGTTAAATATTTTTCCAAAATAGGTTTTTACAGTACATGCTGTTTTATAACTTGCTTTTTATTACTTAATAATATGCACATTATTTTCTGCTATCTTTCTATGTATTCTTTTAAGAACTGCATAGTATTCCATTGTATTACTTCACTATAATTTATTTTTCCAATCTTACATTACTGGTCATTCAGGTGTTTCCAGTTGCATGGTTTCATGTTTTATGAATATACTTGTAGCTAAACTTTTGTTTACAAAGAGGAAGAAATTAAAATACCTTTATCATAGTAGAATTGGGCCGGGTGTGGTGGCTTCAGCCTATAATCCCAGCACTTTGGGAGGCCAAGGCGAGAGGATTGCCTGAGCCCACGGGTTCGAGACCATCCTGGGCAACATGGTGAGACCTCGTCTCTACAATAAATAAAAAAATTAGCGGGGTGTGGTAGCGTGTGCCTGTAGTTCTGGCTACTTGGAGAGCTGAGATGGAAGGATCGCCTGAGCCCAGCAGGTTGAGGCTGCGGTGGCCAGAAGCATGCCACTGTACTCCAGCCTGGGCGACAGAGTGTGATTCCAACTCGTGTACACACACACACACACACGTAGAATTGGTGAGCGATAGGGTATGTAAATTAGAAGGCTTTGAGTGTGTTCCAATTGCCTCCACCACTTATGATAAACTGATTTATAGAGTCAGTTGTTGCTGTGTGTGTCCTCTGCAGAATATACTGACTGATGCACACAGCATATGTGTGGTCTGGAAGCTCTTCACCATTGTGCCTGGACATTCTGCCACTACCAGTTACATTGAATGTTTATCTAGAGTCAGTTGCAATGCCCATTATATAATTTTTGAAATATATAAATTAACCGGGCTCGGTGGCTCAGCCTGCAATCCCGCGCCTTGGGAGGCTGTGGTGAGTGGATTGCCTGAGCCCGCAGGTT